TCCGGGTATTTTCCTCGGACAGGCACTATGGGCTGATAGTGTCTCTCCGCGGATGAACACTATCGCGTCACGTCATCAATTTAAACCAATAAGAATGGGAAAAAATTTAGTGCTGAACTATAATCTGTGATAGATAGTGAGTAGCGTAGCAGTGTGCCCTTGTTAACAAAATGATGGCCGCTTCTTTGCGTTTTCGATGTGTCTGTGAAGAGGATTTAGATAAAGTTTTGAACGACTAGTAGATTTATACTAAAACAATTAAATCTCTAGCTCATAATTTAATTGTTTAATAGAAACACCCGTGAAAGTTTGGGAGAACTCGGAAAAGGTTTGGAAACATTTGCCTAACGGCTCGTGTTGTTGTTGTTGTTGAATGATCGATGCACTTAGCCACAACTAGCTAGTGCTCAGGCATGCCACTTTAAATGAAAGAAACAAATATTGCAAATTAACGTAATCGGCTTAAAAATCCCAACTGACGGGAGGCAGGGCAGTTGGCTATTTACAAGCATGACTGAGGAGTTGAACTGAGATCCACGGAGAAACAACTCCAGCTTAGTGGACAGGGCGGGACATACACCTGCGACCTCCGGATTTCAAGTCCGGCGCCCTAACCACTCGGCCACTCTGCCTCGTATTCCCACAGCATCTCTCATTCTCTCAAACTCAGTCACTCGTGTTTCCATAACTCGATAGAAACACCGTACATGTTTTCTATTTCTTAATTAGAAAATATCCAAAGAAAATACGCCCAATGCATGATTGGTTTAAAATCGTATTTRTATTAAACAATTAGATTTATGAGCTCGAGATTTCTATTAAAACAGTAGAGTGTTTCTGTCGAGGAACTATCGGCTGATAGTTACCCCGCGGAAATTTGATGTTCTTAAAACAAATATTTGCCCGAGAAGCGAAGCTTCGAGTGCAAATATGCTAGTTTTCAGAACATTAAATTTCCAAGGGGCAACTATCAGACCGATAATTCCGAGACATAAACACTCTATTGTCTTTATTGTTCACCTCTAACTTTTCTTTCGCGCGCCAGTTCAAAAATCATATTGAATTACTTTCAATTTTTTTAGATGAAAGCCGTGAAAGCCAAATGTAAAATTATGAAAGAAAAATAAACAAAACCCACCTAATACAATTTAATTTGTTTATTTTTTTATCAGCTCGCTTGTTTACAGAAAATTTTTCTCGGACGAGTACTATCCATCCGGGTGTTTTCCTCGGACGGGCACTTTGGGCTGATAGTGTCTCTCCGCGGTTGAACACTATCGCGTTACGTGATCAGTTTAAACCAATAAGAATCCGAGAAAATTTAGTGGTGAACCATAACGCGTGATAGTTGACGAGGGTGCAGCCCGAGTCAACTATCATGCATAGAAATCGAGAGGGAATAATCTCATTGTTTTAATATAAATCTACTAGTCGTTCAAAAACTTTTCTAAATCTTCCTCACAGACAGCTCGATGATAAAAAGAAGTGGCCGCTATTTTGTTAACAAGCGCACGCTGCTACGCTACCCATTAAAATAAATCAATTAATTGTGTACTAAAAAATTGTGAAATATAGAAGCAAGGCCAATTTATTAAAGCACTAAAAGCTGCTTCGATTTCTCAGAATGATAAAAAACTAGAAATTGCTCAGAATACAAAAAGTTGTTCGAAACGAAAAAGGATACTCGAAATACAAGAAGTTGCCAAAAAGTTGCCGAGCAACTTGTGGAAAGCCCTAGAAACACTGTCGTTAATTAAAAAGCAGATCACTTGGTAAGCAAATTGAGCTAATTAATCTTCATCAATCCAACAAATTACGACTTCGATGGGTAAGAAACTGCGTAAGCTTTATATACTGGTCAGTGGATTCACAAGAGTTAACAAGGAGCGAAGGGGTGAAATTCATCGGCATACCCACAACTCGGAAAATTGCAAAGTTTCCATTTTGCACCACGGGGTTCCGAATATAAGAGGAAAGCCAACTCAAGTCATTTGATAATGTACAACCGAAAATAGCATTCGAGAATAGCATATGATGGAGAAGGCGCGGTGCCCTTATGGTTAGTGATCGAGTGGCCCGGGTTTTGGCCCTGTTCTCGGACACGATACTTAACTCTCAAAGTGCCTCTCTCTACCCAGGTATATAAATGGATAACTGCAAATTTAATGCTCGGGGCAACCCTACGATGGACTAGGAGGGAGTAGATTACCCCTTTTTGCTTCATGCTACTGAAATCGGAGACAAGCACCTGCCACATGCAGACTTTGATACCCTTTACCCTTAATATATAGTGAAGTTTGCAACATAAAAGGAATAATAGGTTACCAAATGGTTTTTTTTTTTCCTTTTGAAAAAGGAGAAATCTGGCCGGCCACTTTGAATTGTTTATTTTTTTTACATTTTATTTAACAACATTTACTTCAAACTACCTCCGTTATTTTATATTCCATATTAAGCACGTAATTTCCAATCCTACTGGCCAGAGGAAGAGGACATTTTGTTCGAGGTCCGTACGTGTAAGACCGGGCGAACTCCCATATAAAAAGGACCGGAGTGCTCGTTGTACCTTTTAGGGATTAAAAAGGTGCGTTTGGTACCTCTTAGGGTGCTCAGGGTGTTCAGCCTCAATGGTCCACGGCGGGCGTTTTTGCGGTACCTTCTAGGGTATTGAGCCGAAAAAGATATGAGGAGATAATGCTTTGTTTAAGAATTGGTATCTCTTAGGGGTGAAAAAAAAAAAATTTCAAGCCACGCCCACAAAACAGGATCTTGGTACCTCTTAGGGGCTCTTTTCAAAATTTTTATTTTTATATGGGATTCTCCCCGGGGTGTAAGATACGTATCGAATATCTTGCAGTCAGATATCTTACAGTAATGACTGAGGAACTCACTCTGGAGAAAGGAAAGATTTAAAGTCCAGCTCGAGAGAAGCGATCTATTACGTAGTATCCGGGACGTAAAATTGACTCAGTCATCATGCATAACACGCCTATTATCTGGCACATAAATTGCGATTATATATCATGAACACGGAACTGTAAGGGGGTATTTTCAACTGTATTTGCCACTGTTTTCATGCACTGTATCCAGCCAACATTTCGAGTTGAAATTTCAGCTGACTGTTGTTTAGTACAAATAATACAAATAGAAAATAATAAACTCAAGACACAACGCGGAATTGAAATACAATTAACAAGTATAGCTTGCAAATACTTGTTAACCTAAGACTGCCACAATTTTCTTGATAAAATGGAAATATTTAACATTTTGCATGCAAAAAATTAATATTTTAGGCTTTTAGAAATATTGGATATTATATGAAAAAACCCCAAGACGTCAATGCTTATTGCGAATAAAAATATAAAACAAGATATCAAACTCCGTGGTCAGTTAGTGCACTGAAAATGTTAGTTTGCTGTTCATTATTCCCCACTCCCTGAGAATGATGCAATTTCCAATCTCTCGTCTGTCTGACCACTTCCAGATGAACGTAGTAAAATGTAATCTCTTGCTTCTTGATTTTCAAGTTGACCACTTCCAGAGAAGTCATTTTCTGGAAATATCTGTCTGACGTATTCACCCTGGCCGCTATCAGGTCTATTGTACATTGTTATGTGGAGGTTGTTTGACTCATTTTCTTCGCCGCTACCAGATAAAGCCGCGTTCTGTTCCATATCTCTGTAATCGTTTTCCATATAATGACCAGAAGCCTTCGTTTCGTCGTCGTGGTTTCTCTCTTCCTTTATGTTTTCATTTCCTGAGGAAGACATTTCTATCGTCAGCTCTCGGTGACCAGAACCCCGGTCGTTCCCTGAAATTATGACTGGAACCTTTCCTTTCTGTTGTCCACCCTCGTCCAAGTCTTCATCTTCCTCTTTTTCTTCTTTCCACACCTCTTCAACTGTGGACTTGTTTTCCTGCGCTTTTTCATTTCTACCGCTCCAGGTTAGACGACCCATGACCAGTTGTGGAAGGAGAGAATCGTAAGGCCTAGGGGAAGGTGCTGGAGCAGATGCTTGTTGCATTTCTCTTTGTTGATTCCCATCTATTGAGAGACCACACCTCTGGTATTAAGACGGGAATGACTTTAAAAGGGAGGTTGGCTTGAAAAAATGGGTTCTGTTTGTCAATTACCCTTTTCAAAGTCATTAGTAATTCATCAAGTTAAAACAAAGAAAATCACAACCGTGAAGGAAGTTTGGATAGCCGGTCTTAATTAGCATAGATTTTCACGATTTTACTTTTCTGTTTACTCCTTAGGTTTTGTTTGGATTGAGAAGATATATCAAATACTCGAGACAGTGTTTCATCAGCTATCCAAACACCTCGACTTTCGTTAAAAAACTCCGCTGCGCGTCGTTTCTTCAACTTTCTTCTGCGTGATTGGATATGCCGATGAAACACTGTCTCTCGTGTTTGATATATTACGTAAGCTCCAAATGGACGGTGGGTGAATGTTGATTTTTCCCATTCGAATTTTTTACAAACCAACCAGACACGTTATTTGAATCATGAGTTAGTTTTTTTACCCAGGATAACAATCACGAGACGTAGCATGCTCGTTTACAAAATCGTAATTTTGACTCAGTCATCCCGTATTTCTGTTATATGAAAATGCAGTAATTATGCAGAAATTGAAACTTTTCATGCGCAAAACTAAAATGTAAGTCAGATGGCATGTAAAGTACAATTAGCCGAGTCTCTCAGCTTAAAGGGCACGGGATGATGTCCTTTACTGTGTACATTCCAACCTGGTAAAAGCCATATATGGGGGTCTATACGGGGTTTTAATGATGGCTGATAATTGATCAAGATTTTGTCAACAGTGAGGCTGAGATTTGAGATCTATAAAATTCACTGATAGCTGAAAGATCGATGGACTGATAGCTGGGTAATCGTCAAACAATTTTAATATAACTGATAATTGAGATTCCAGAACCCTCCCCCAGATCTACATCAACTACTGTTNACTCGAGACAGTGTTTCATCAGCTATCCAAACACCTCGACTTTCGTTAAAAAAACTCCGCTCCGCGTCGTTTCTTCAACTTTCCTCTGCGTGATTGGATATCCCGATGAAACACTGTCTCTCGTGTTTGATATATTACATAAGCTCTAAATGAACGGTGGGTGAATGTTGATTTTCCCATTCGAATTTATTCCAAACCAACTAGACACGTTATTTGAATCATGAGTTAGTTTTTTTACCCAGGATAACAATCACGAGACGTAGTTTTGGGGGCAAAAATCAATTATTGTACCAGCATACTCGTTTACAAAATCGTGATTTTGACTCAGTCATTCCGTATTTCTTTTATATGAAAATGCAGTAATTATGCAGAGACTGCGCAAAACTAAAATGTAAGTCAGATTGCACGTAAAGTAGACTTAGCCGAGTCTCTCAGCTTAAAGTGCACCTAACCCCCCAATTTTTTTTTCGCTAAAACAAATCTAGACTTTATTTGAAGCATTTGGGCGAAGAAATTTTTGAATTTGGTAGAATCCTCGATTTTCTATGCCCTTTCAAAGTCGCGATTAAGTGTTTCACGACCGCGTTTTAGGGAGTCTGGGGCGGCGGTACCTGATGACGTCTACCCA